TCCTTGACCCTACAAGTATGATTATAATAAAAGAAGACATTAAGAAGAAGAGGTTCCCTGAACCTGAGACTCAGTGCATCCATTTCATGGATGCTAGTGATGTCACTAATGACGAAGAATTCTTTGAGGATGAAACACAAGTGGTTGAGTCAGACTCCCGGCATGACTTGAACCCTGAGCTAGGAAAGTTGGAACCTTTAAACATCGACACCTTAGTCCACCTTGATCCTAGTCTCATCGAGGATATTTCTTTGGATAAGGTTTTCCTGGACGATAGTAATATGATCTTGAAAGAAACTGACCTGACCGTGAACACACTGAACTTAAAGTCGGAAGATTCTGATTTAATTACTGAGACGACTCTGAATAATTCAGATTTAATTTTGAATAATTCTGATGGCAATATGGATAATTTCAAATTGGAAATGAGGAAAAGAAGTTACTACCTGGATTAAATCTTGATTTAAGTGATCCTCTCTAATCTTGTCTTTCATTGAAGCTATTCCAACCTTTTTCACGTATATGCTCATTTCGTATCTTGTCTCTAAGAGTAAAGTCACCCATCTACTTGAGCATCCTCATCTCTACAACACTTAACTTAATATTATGCTTCTCTTTTAATGGCCAACATTCTGCACCATAAAACATTGCAGGTCTAACCAACATCTCATAGAACTTTTCCTTAAGTTTGAGGGGGCTTTTCTATCACACAACAAGCCCGACACATTCCTCCACTTCAACCATCCAATTTGAATTCTACTAATAATATCCCCATCTATTTCACCATTACTCAGAACACTAGACCCAAGTTATCGAAAATGTGTACTCTTCATGACTTGATCATCCAAAGTCACAATTCCCCCACTAGATCTATTATTACTAAAATTATACTATCTAACAAGCCTAGTATTAAGGGAAAAAAAAAGAGGGTATACTATAGAATAGTTCATGAAAAAAAAATTATATAGAGATATAAAGCAATCTAAATGCATTATAAGCAAAGATAATAGGGTCAGTTAAAGACAAAAAAAAAACCAAAACAAAAAACAAAAACAAAAAAAAAAGATTAAAATGCTACTATGATAAATTATCCAATGAGAGTTTTAAGAAAAAAAATTATTTTATAAGAGCATAATTGTTGTGAAAAATCTTGGAGGAAGAGAGCTTCTTGGCTGCCACAAGAATAGCATTCAGAAAGGAGAGGGAGAATGCAGAAGGAGAGGGAGAATGGAGACAGAGAGGAAGAGAGCTCCTTAATCTTTTATTGATTTGTTCTTTTAGGATACAACCTTCACATCAATGTATGAATTATATATAAACATTGACACTGGTATGGTGTATTGCAGAGCAACTATAACCTAAAATTGAATCAAATACTAACAATCTCCACCTTAGTCTAATTTTATAATGTATAACAAAGAAAAGCCTCCACCAAACAGTCACCTGCTTCTCCTCCACCTATTGTTCACAAAGACAGCATGTTATCCACTGAACAACCAAGAAAAGCTTCTCCTCCAGTCACCAGCTCTTCCTCCACCTGCTGTCCACAAAGAATAGCTCAGAAAAGCTTCTTCCGTCATTTTCTATTCCTGATGCAGCAACAACACCTTGCTCTCATTTCCGTCAGTCACCTCTTGGCAGCAACACCTCCACCTTGCAGAAGAGCTTCTTGCTTCCCTGCCTAGACCGAGAGAAGATAGTCTTGTCCTCCACCACAAAAACTTTCCTAACTCTCTGGACCTCCATCGCAGAAACCTTCTCCTCCACCTACTGTTCACAGAGACAACCAAAAAAAGCTTCTCCTCCGATCTCCACCTCTTCCTCCACCAGCTATCCACAAAGAATAGCTAAGACAAGCCTTCACTCATTTGGTTTGCCTTTCGCGACCTAATTCCATCTCCCACACTCTCGCACCTGCCCCAACCACGCTTACCTCTGCTAGTCCTACTCGTGCCTTGGTGTGCTCTAGCCTGCGCAAACTGGCGTCCAAACCCTTACTGCAACAACAATTCAATTTCCAAGAGCTACTCTTATATGGTTTTTTTGTTGAGAGAGTTTTGTACGTTAGAAGATTTTCGATCCTGCTTCAGATTACGACTCTGAAACCCACAGAAAGCCCGTGTGCAATTGCCTCTAGCCCATGCGCCAAGGCCTCGGACTCCCGTGTGTTCCAACACACGCATGATCCGTTCGATCACGTACCCTGCTCCCACACGGCCCGCTTCTTGTTTTAGTGCGAAAATCCAACCCGCAATCCGCACGCAAGTGCCCACGTGCACATTCTCGTGGTTCCACATGCTTGCATGTTCCTCGTGCTTTATTCCCGCGCCTTCACCGTCTGCAAGTCAAATTGTGATTACGTACGACCTACCTAGTAGCCCACCTCCGCTCCATTCAAGCCAAACCACAGACTCGCGACTGTGCATCCTCCGGCCTACGCATTTTCTCCCACACGGCATGCCCGCACGAATGTTCGACCCGAGCCCGCTTCCTATCGTGACACCAGCACCCTCAACCTCGTGGCTGATCGCGACCCCAACGCCTACCAGCGCACAGCCGGGCTTCTACCTCGCCTGAGCCCCCTCCTGGCGTGAGAAGCCCGCGCTCCGCCTGCAATTATGGAGTGACAAAAAAAATTCAAGCATATTCAAATTGCATCTAGAATGAACATTAAAGTTCATATCTTTTAGTATGAATTACCTAGATGCTTAACAGATATATTCAAAGTGACATGCTTTAGTTTTTGTTTTTTTTTTAATGTTCAATTTAATCAATACGACATCTAACAAAAGACCTGAAAAGTTTTAAAAAAAGGAAAAAAAAAATAAAAATTGGAGGGGATTAGAATTAAAAAAAAATAACATCAAGCCTTTATACAACAACATGGGATCCCCTGCATGAATCTTTTTTCTCCATTGTGTCCTGTTCAGAGTCAAATTCTTATTTAAATATAATAAAAAATGTAATTTTTTTATATTTTATAACCAAATCTCTTTTAGGTCTACCTCTACCTTTCTAAACATAGGTCAAATCTAATACATCTACCCTCCTAACGAGGTCATCAGAAGGTCAATGTTTTAAGTAGAATTAGTGAAATAAAAATTTAGTATATGATATGCCAGTTTAGTGAGTTAGATATCAATGATTGTTAATCAATATTATTGAAGATAAATAATATAAATGTGTGATAGATATAAGCATTTTAGATCTATTCTATAGAAGAATAAGGATATAAACAAGAATAAAACTTATAGAATTAAGGTTGAGTAATTAAAATGAATTAATGATTTAAGAGTATTATACATTGAAAAATATTATGAAGACTTAAACATACAACAACAATAACATCAAGCCTTTATCCCACTACGTGGGGTCGGCTACATGAATACTTTTTCTCCATTGTGTCCTATTAAAAGTCAAATTCTTGTTTAAATCTAATAAAGAAAGGTCATTCCTAATATTTTCTAACCAAGTCTTTTTAGGTCTACCCCTACCTTTCTTAACATAAGTCAAATCTAATACCTCTACTCTCCTGACCGGGTTATCGGAAGGCCGCCGTTTTATGTGACCAAATCATCTAAGGCGACTCTCTCTAATCTTATCTTCTACTGGAGCTACTCCAACCTTTTCATGTATATGCTCATTTCGTATCCTATATCTAATGGTAAAGTCACTCATCCACCTGAGCATCCTCATCTCTGCCACACTTAACTTAGTATTATGCTTCTCTTTTAATGGCCAACATTCAGCACCACAAAGCATTGCAGGCCTCACTACCATCTTATAAAATTTTCCCTTAAGTTTGAGGGGTACATCACTATCACATAACAAGCCCGATGCATTCCTCCACTTCAACCATCCAACTTGAATTATGCTGATAATATCCCCATCTATTTCACCATCACTCTGAACAATAGATCTAAGATATCTAAAACGTGTACTCTTATTAATGACTTGATCGCCCAAAGTCACAATCCCCTCACTAGGTCTATTACTACTAAAATTACACTTCATATATTCCGTTTTAGATCTACTCAAGCGAAAACCTTTAGACTCTAAGGTTGACCTCCATAATTCAAGTTTACCTTCAACTCCATCTCTAGTCTTATCAACAAGAAGAATATCATCAGCATAAAGCATACACCAAGGTACATCCTCTTGCAAATGTCTAGTGAGAACATCCAAGACTTAAACATACATTGTAAGAAATTATAATTAGATCTACAATGTTGTATAGATTTGAATGTTGGACAATAATAAGGAAGTTGATAAAAAAAATAAAAATAAATAAAAAAGGCAGTTGATAATTAAGTCAAGCATGATAAAAATAAGAATGCTAAGATGGATATATGATAAAAATAGGAATAATAAATTAAATAATGATTATATTAAAAAATTGATTATAATAATATCTATTGAACATAAGAAAATAAAAAATTGACAGAAATCCAAAAATGAATACTTGCCGGAAGCACAAAGTTGAGCATTAAGGTAAGCATTATAAATTTATAGTGGTTATGAGTTTTTTCATCTTCTTCTTCTTCTCCTCCTTCTAACATACCTATGATAATGGGATGTGTTCTCTGATATTTTAATTATTTCTTTAAATTTGATTTATTATTGCAAGTAATTTCAATTTAGCTCTTAGATTTACTAGTTTAGCTATTTCCAATTACCCATTTAAGCACATGACCAACTCTCATTTTGTCCATTCATTGATTTAGATGTTCACGTTTGAGGCCACTAATTCAAAAATTATGGGACTTAATTGGTCTTTCTTTTTTTTAAAAAAATATGCCTACGATAATAGAATGTGTTCTCTAATGTTTTGATTATTTCTTCACATTTGATTTATTGTTGCAAGTCATTTCGATTCAGCTCTTGGATTTCCAAATTTAGCAATTTCCGATTCCCCAATTAAGCACATAACTAATTCGCTTGTTGTTTATTCACTGCTTTAGATGTTCACATTTATGGCCGCTAATTCAAAATTTACGAGATTCAATTGATCCAAATTTTGGTTATACTAGAGGTGTCGGAAGTTCTAAACTTCTTTTATTCCCTTTTTTTAACAATCGCAGGATTTCTTCTATTTACTACATTGTAGCAACATGTACATTTTAGGCATAGTAGAAGTTGCGTGATTTCCTTGGCATTCTAGCTTTTCGTGTCTTGCCTTCAACAGTAGTTCATATCTTGAGACTATAATTGTGTCAAACATTGACTTCCAACCTCAACATTGCACTGTAGCTAATTTTAGTCTTCCATTTATAATTGTTCTTCCATGAAGCTGTGGCTAAAATTAAAAATTGATGGAATTTGCTATAAACATAATTTAAAGTTAGAAATTTATTATTTTGCTGAAACTAAGATGAGAAACTTGTTCTTGATGAAATTTAAGTGTGTTGAAATGGAACTTGCATTATAGACTATATTGAAGGATTTTTAAAAAAGCTACTTATTTTAGGCCATTTTGCATTCATATTTCCTTTAAATCGATTGCCTTTTTGAACCAAATCTTAATCATAAAAATTGTTAAAGAGTATACTAACCTTAAGACTTCGGACTTAGGACAGGAGTTTCAGAGGTCAAACTGCTGGCCTCATCTGCAATCTCTTTAAGTCTCTTCAGCACCGGAAGAACATGATCCTTCAACTCAGGACGGTCCTTGGGTCTTAGTTCCAAGCAACTTAATCCCAAAAGGGCCAATTCCTGTGCTGGTCCTTTAGGCCATTGCCCAGCCTTAGGATCCAAAACCTCCATCAAGTCACCATCTTCAATTGCCATTTCTACAATGTTGGCAAGCCCCATAGGCTGTTTTGCAGTCAACAACTGCAAAATGACCATCCCCAGAGCATAAGTATCTGATTTCGGTGACACCAAACCTGTCCTCTGATACTCAGGGTCAATGTAGAAGAATGTCCCAACAGGAGATGTGATCATTGATTTCATTGAGGGAAGTAAGGTGGACAGACCTACATCGCCAATTTTACTCACAAAGTTCTCGTTGAGCAAGATGTTTGCAGGCTTGAGATCACGATGAACAATTGGCACTGGCTGCGAGTGATGCAGAAAAACAAGAGCTGAAGCAACCTCCCAAGCTATCCTCAATCGGTAAAACCATGGAAGTGGAGGTGTATTATACTTGCATTTCAAGCGGTCATCAAGGCTGCCATTCTCCATGTACTCATAGACCAGGCAGCCCCTTGTAGGACAGGCTCCAAGTAGTATAAGCATATGGGGATGATGAATTCTAGTCAGGATTTCAAGCTGTAAAGGAAATACGAGTTTATATGTCAGAGAAAAGAAATTAAAAGCATGACAACGCAGTAAACTCATATTGTATCTAAATTGAGCCTTAATAGTTAATTCAATCAATATTTCAAGCTAAGTTGAAATAATTTATGAGAATTTCTCAACCTCTTGCTTGAATTGCTTGGTTCCACATTCCTCATTTGAGTTGAGAATTTTCACAGCTGCAATTGTGTGATCAAAGGTACTCTTGTAGACTGTTCCATTTGCCCCTGCTCCAAGCTTTAGTGCATCAGACAATGATGAGGTGGCAGATTCTATCTCTTCCCATGTATAGTTTTTGAATTTCTCGTCATTGCTGAAGCTAGCTATTTCCATCCTTTGTTCCTCTTCAGATTTACATGTAGCTTTAACCGTTGAGGTCTCCTTGATGCACTTCTTCACAAATAAAGCATCCCTTTCTGATGCTTCTAGCCTTTTCTTTTCCAGCCCAGTAGCTTCTTTAGTCTCCTCTTTTATGATGTTATTCTCTTTTAGACTTGCCCTTTCCTGTTCATGGCATTTTTCATTCAGCTAATTAACAGAACGGAACTAATGATTATAAAATAATGATGTAATAAAACTGTCAAAGTTCTAGCATTTAAACATTTGAACATACTTGATGGGAAACAAAATAATGATTTCAGTTTGTCAATTTCAACCATACCATGAACATTCTCAAGTCAGTTTCCGAGAATTTTTAAAATGTGAAAAAGTCTCAGATAAAATGGATGGCCAATAAAAAAACTTTAAAAACTGTATTTATAAATGTGCTAAGTTACCTTATTCCCTGTTAATAAAGATTCACTCAAATCATCCGACATTGAGGACATATCCAAGGCCAATGAATTGATTTTTGCTCCGTAATTTCCATTACTAGACAATTTGGTTTTGCTGTCATGCATTTGGGTGGGTAAACTCTGAACATTGATATCATCCTCACTGTTCGAGGAAGTAGTACTGTGGAGGATGCTGCAGGGGCTACCCGTGTCATCAGATTTGTTATCTTTTTTTTCATCTTTGGTGGAAAGAGTTTCAACACGCCGGATTTGAAGGTAGATATTCTCAGGATGTGAGGACTTTTGTAGTGTATCTGCATCCATTGACTCTGAAGAATATATAATATGAGAACAAGAATCAATAACTTGACAATTGTCAAGTCATGCAAGTCACTTTCTAATGAGATATTCTGATGAAAAGGGTTTGATTATAAAAGAAGCAGGCATAAGACATGAAAGCAACAGACAATGGCAACAGACAATGGCATAACAATGCTTAAAACCTTTATAAGTCATTTTTTAACTGCAAACTCGAAGTGGTCAGGATTCCTGAATTCAGAGATGAACGTTGCATGGATACTTGAAAAAAATTGAAAAAGAAACCAGAAGACAGTTTGCATATTTTCACTATCGTTAATTTCTATAGCACTTTCTTAGCTATATTTAATCAATGTTTATGCAATAATACTTATTTCCTAAACAAGAATAATTCCAGGATGCTCCTCTTTATCCTTGTGCCACATCTGACGATGCTGTCTATGAAACCAACATTTTCTGCATCTCTCCAAAATTAGAATAAATGCATTTTGAACCTGATTCAACATGCAGCAGGAACTCCAACAGCAGGGTAGAATCAAAGGTTGCAAGAAGAGATTCCATTGGAAAGAAGCAAACATGATAGATAAACCCTCCACTAAGACATGGATTGCCAAAAGAATTTGAAGCACTTTCTATTAAGCAGCAACCTAATAGGATTTGATGACCAAAACAGCATACAACAATATAAAAAATAGAACACTTACTCCAAATAGATCAAGAAATAGCACCAAAGGGATTGTAATTATTAATCTTCAAGTAAAGAAAGACAAGATACAAATTGATTCACTGTTCGAGAGGTGAATCGTCTCTCCACAATTCCTAGCAGCAACTAGGCCAAAAACTCCTACAAAAAATTGTTGCAACAAATAAAATTCCAAAGTATAAACCCTAACCCCCACAATCTTCCACTTTAAACAACCAAAAATCCTCTAATAATATTCTTTACATCTTTCCCAAAGAGTTCCCTTCAAAGCCTCATCTCCTATAGGGGATAAAGGAGGTAATGGCCCCCCCTAGGCACTTGAGCTGCTGCCCACCTTGGCAGTTGTGGTGTCAGTTGCTACATCAATACTTCCCTCCTAAAAAGTCACATTATTCTTAAGATAGAAAGAGGGAAACTGCTTTTGGATGGTACCGTAGGGCTCCTATGTTACTTCATATTATGATAAATCCTTCCACTTGATCAGCACCTCCCCGATCCCATTTTCTCCTTGGAGCACCTCTTTCAACTCAAGTGGTTCCAATAGCACCTCCATATCCTCTGACAGTGTGGCCGATAGTGCAGGCAAGTGTGTGTGGCTTCCAATGGCTCGTCTCAGTTGAGATACATGAAATACGGGATGGATGGCAGAGGTCAGTGGCAACCTTAGGCGATATGTCACTACGCAAATGCGCTCCACTACCTCATAGGGCTCAAAGTAGTGGGGGGAGAACTCCTCATTCCATCATCAAGCCAAAGTCTTCTGTATGTACAGTCAGATCTTCAGATAAACCATGTCTCCTACCTCAAACTGCACGTCTCTCCTATGTTCATATGCCTGCTTTATTATGATTTGTTATGCTCTATGTAGATGTTCCTTCAATTCTACCAAAATCAGATCCCTTTCTCCCAAGTACTACTCCACTGATAATAATGGTGTGTGGTATAGGATTTTAAATTGCATTGTCTAGGCTGTTGTATGATATGAATTGTTATACCAATAGTCCGCCCAGGCTAACCACTTAATCCACATCTTTGGTGTATCTGATACAAAGTAATAAAGATAAGCCTCCACACTGCAATTCACCACCTCTATTTGGCCATCCATCTGGGGGTGGTAAGTTGTACTCCGCTTCAGGATAGTCCCCTGCATCTTGAATAACTCCCTCTATAAATGGCTTAGAAAGACATTATCCCAATCGAACACAATGGCTTTAGGTCTGCCATGCAAACGAACCACCTCTTTAATGAATATGGCTGCCACCAATACTGCGGTATAAGAGTGACGTAAGGGAATGAAATGAGCATATTTGCTCAATCTGTCCACCACCTTTAGGATCACAATGAACCCTTTCGATCTAGATAATCCTTCAATAAAGTCCATAGGCACATCTTACCACACATTCTCGGGTAATGTCCAACACTGTAGAAGACAACCTATAGCCATAACCAGGTATTTGTGTCTCTAGCACACATCACAACTTCTCTACATCCTTTAGTATTTGTGTCTCAATCTGTCCACCACCAACTCCTCTACATCCTTCCGCATGCCCACCCAGTATAGCTCCGCTGCCAGTCTATGATATGTCTTCTGAACTCCTGAATGTCACCCAATAGTTGTGCCATGAAATTTCTGCAACAAGAGAGGGATGTGTGGCGATGTCCTCTAGAGCACAAATAGTCCCCGATATAGTAGCTTTTGACCCATCAAAGAGTAACCAAGATGGTTATCCTTGTGTTGCAGTAAGTCTCCCCTTATCTTATTCATCTCTTCATCCTGCTTGCTCTCACGCTTCAAGGCCTCCTAATCCACCACCATGGTAACATATAGAGTCATAACCCGAGGGTCTCACCACGCCTGGAAAGGGCATATGCAGCTTTATTTTTCAGCCCAGACTTGTACTGAATCTCGAATCCAAAAACTTGGAAAGCCATCTTTGATGCTCCTCTATTATCATCCTCTTCTCTAACTAGAACTTCAAACTCCTTTGGTCAGTCCTGACTATGAAGTATCGTCCCAACAGGTAAGTTTGGGACTTCTGTATTGCCAACACTATCGCCATCATCTTCATTTCATACATTGATTTCAGCCTCGCCCTAGCAGTCAACACTTAGCTGAAATAAGTTATGGGCCTCTGACTCTGCATGAGAATTGCTCCCAACCCATAACCTGATGCATCAGTCTCTACTACAAATGACTGGCTAAAATCTAGTAGTGCTAACATAGGGACACTCATCATAGCTTTCTTCAGCTGATCAAACGCCTGGTTGGTTGTCTCCCCCCATTTGAAACAATCATTCTTCAATTGCTCTTTCAATGGCTATGTTATAGAGCAATCCCAAAAATCAGTTACTGTTTTTCAGCCGAAAGAGAAGCTATTTGCTGTTTTGAAGGGTTAAATTCCAGATTTTGGAGTCGACAAAGATCCGGGTATTGGGGCCAAGAAAGTGGATGCGTTGGAGGAAAGCCTCAAAGTGGAGATCGAACAAATGAAATCTAAAATTTCAGATCTACAAACTCAAGTTTCAGATTTAAAGAAAGACATTTCAGTCATCCATGAAAAGATAGATGAGAATTTTTCCAGCCCGTGGGAGATGTTGAAGAAAGTACACGAGGAATAAATCAAAATATCACCGTCGGAGGGGAGGGAAGGCGCCGACAGCCAAGGAGATGGGAAAAATCCTAAGCCAATCAGGCAAAAGGGAGATCAAGAGGTGGTGACTCGAAAGGGAGAAAGAGAATATGATGGGGACATCAGATCATGAAAGGTTTATCAGAGGCGTGGCCCCTGATCTACGGCCACGATTGAGTCATTGTATTTTTGATTTATTCTACGTATTTTCTTATTTATGTTGTCGCATTTTATTTGCTTTCCCGTTGTACCCTTTTACTAAGGGATGTCGTATGAGGCTTTATATAGCCCTCCTTATTCTATTTTGAAATTAATGAATGATTGATCGATTAAGATTTCTTCATTGCATGAGTTCTTGTGAGAGCTTGAGAGTTTGAGAGATGAATCCCTAGGAGAGGGAAAACGGATCACCCACCAACCTTGGAGATGGCCGGATTCGTGGTTCTACCTTCTTTATCATTTTTCCTCCTCATTCCTCCCTCAACTAGCCGCCGGTTTTGAAATCCCTCCCCACCTCTTTAAGCCGCCGGCCACCATCCAACTTTCACTCACCACCATATAACCCCAATTCCTTCTCCACCCTCACCCGACCAACCCAACGTCACCTTCACCCCACCGAAATTTCTCCTTCAAAGCCCAACTAGCCGCCGGACTCATCACCCTCCTCCTCCCTCCAAAATTCAAATCACACCTTGGATTCTTTTCATAATTATCTCCTCTTAATTTGGAAAGGTTTAATTTCAAAATTCAAAGCAATTGAAAGTTGAAATTTCTTTCCTAATTTAAGATACATATTTTTGGAAAGTTCCTAAATTAAGTTCAATTTGAATTTTGAATTGAATTGGATTGAAGATCCCGCCTTCCTAATTTGATTTCCCAAATCAGGGAAGAGTAATTACTTTCCCTCAAACCCCTTCCCTCTATGGATGTCGCCAGCCTCTACATGGTCCCCACCTCTTTATTTCTTTCCAAACTCAAGTCCCCTCTTTAGGAATTAAATTACCCAGCCTCCCTACCTTACCCGCCTCCCCTCTCCTCCCCTTAGGCTGTTCAAACTCTTTCCAAATCAAAGAACCTTGATTGGGAAAGTGATTTCAGCCTTCCCTCCCACTTGCCCCCCTTCCAAACTCTAAACCTGATTCCAAAATTAATTCTGAACCTAACTCTTCTTCAAATTTCATCCATTGGCCGGCCATCCTCCTCTTGCCTTCTCCTACTTGACTTGTTGAAGGAAGCCCCTCTTTCTCGAAGGATTCTTCAAGGCAATCAAAGGATCAATATATTCAACACTTCGGCGCTTGGAAGATATCTCTTCTCCTCCAATTGAACCTTCACGAGAAACGAAGACAAACTTCGTCAACACATCGCCTATTTGCCTCCGGGTTTTTGATAAGGGTGAACTTCTTCCCTTTTTTATTTACTTTTCTAATCCCCCTAATCTTGTAGGTGATGGAGATTCATAAGGAGCCGAGCTTCACCTTTGTCTAAGCTTAGTAAACATAGGATTTTGCTTCGCCATTGCCAAAGCTTAGTAAACGTAGGATTGAGTGCACTTTATTTGCTTCTAATATTATTGTTAGATTAGGGATTTCTGTTGAAGGCTATTATATTTGCATGACTTGATTTTCTATGTTGTTTTGATAATCCGAGTGCTTAGTGCGCAACTTAGCCTAAACGGAAGTGACCACTCTTATGTTTTATTTGATCGTTTTATTTTGCTAATAGTTCTAATCTTAATTGCTCTTATCAATAAATCGTGCAAATTCTTTTACATTCATTGTAAGCATTTAGTCCTACATCAAAATACCTCTCATAGAGCTTATTCCTAGGGAGGAGCCGGGCAAAGGGTGTAAGGAGAGGCGTGAGGAGGTGGGGCAAGAACTAAGATGTGCTGATTTGGATAGGAGATGGGCAAGATTGGAAAGGGAAATGGATAATTATGACCAAAGCAGGGCTGGATTTGAAAGTGGAGGGGTTTGTTATGATCCAAGGGGTGCTAAATTTGAGAGGAGAATGTGGGAATTTGATGAAAGGTTGGGCTATGAACGCAGAAGGATGATTGGGACACTTGCGGGGAACCACCCCCTTGTGGAAGAGGAAATTATGAAGGGAACAGAGGGAACAGAGGTGATCTAAGGGTGAGGAAACTAAAGATGTCTATCTTTGAGGGAGAGGATACACATGGGTGGATCTACAGGGTGAAAATGTACTTTATTGTCAATAGATTGACAGAGGAGGAGAAGTTGATGGTAGCCAGGATGTGCTTGGAAGGGAAAGCTTTAGCATTATACCAATGCAGAGATACAAGATGACCGATAAGGACCTAGAGGGAGTTTAAGAACTGTTTGTTGGAACGTTTTCAAATCAGCAGAGGAGGAGACTTCTACGAGCAGTTCTTCGTCTTAACACAGAATGGTTCAGTAATGGAATACCGGAGAGATTCGAGTACCTTGCTAATCGATTGGACCGTCTTCCTAAGACAGTGCTAGAGGAAAATTTCATGAAGGGGCTAATGCCAGAGATCTGGGCAGCGGTTAGAATAATGAGACCTCATGATTTGGGAGATGCTATGGAGCTAACTCAATTGGTGGAGGATCAGAGGCATCTTGAGAGAGAGATGGGAAGCAGCAACTCAGGAGGTCCAAACAGGGACCACCACCCTTCTAGCACCCAAATAGCCGACACTGGGTACTCTTCGGGAGACTTCAAATGAGAAGACTGTAGGAGTAAAATCAGGTGACAACTTCAAGAAGCTCACAGAACCGAAATTATAGGAGAAAATGGCGAAGGGGCTCTGTTTCAGATATGCCGAGAGGTATACGCCGAGGCACAAGTGTAAAGACCGAACTCTTCAGGTTCTTCCCGTTTATGATGAAGAAGGAATGGATGAATGTGTCATATTTCCACCTTGCGGACAAGGTGAATCTTTGGGAAGAGAGTATTATTAGACCGGTCCATTGGACCGGTCCAGCTGGTCCATACCGAACTGGCTTACGAACTACAGAGGCGGAGTTCTCCGCCTCCTACACACCGATCAAACCTCAAATTCAAAAAGAGCAGTTTTGGAAGGAATTTTTATGAAGTTTAGGAAGGAAATTGAATGTAGGGACTGTTTATAGATTTCCTTTTGAATTGTATGCATTAAATAGTTTGTTTTCCTAGGGTTATGGTAACTTGAATTTGGTTGAAATTTGAGATCACTTAGATTTTTGGGCTCTAGCGGCGTCTACAGATTTGGGAGAGATAGATCCTCCTCTTGAATAGATGATCAATTATATCTTGGTATTTTCTGTTCTAATTCATCAAATAATACAAATTACCTATTGTTTTCCTAGTTTTGTGTGAATTTTTTTGGAGAATTCTCGCTGTTTTTCAAATATTACTAGGAAATTCTTGAGACCTTCAAGTGTTTCCTATCACTTATCCATGAGGACAGTATTTATGCTCGAGTCTTGATATATCATGCACATATATACATGGAACTACAGTATGGTTTGTTACGGATAAGGCACTAGCTTTCTTGTGTCCACATCTTATGTGATAATTATGTAGTCCAAATAAGATTATGCATAGCTGAAATAAAGCACCAGTTATTCAGGATGGTAAGGTGACCCTTCTCTACTACTATTAGATTCATTTATGGACATCAAACACTTGAAGCTTATATATTTGAAAAAGTTGTTTGATTGTTATATTTGATAAATACACAAATCTAATGACCTTTTCTGACCTTTAAATCCTTTTTCTTTATGTCTACTGGATCAGACAAAAAAGTTTTGATTACCTGAACAAGAGACAGAAGAGTTGCATGAAGAACCGACACAACTTCTCTCATTGTTGGATCTTTCATCTGTCCTCGAGCGCACAGCTGAAAGCTTTCCTTTTTTAATAATAAAAACAGTACAGAAGACTGGAGTGCTCTCAGAGATCTTGTTGGACATTTTCATGCCTTTAAGTTTCCTACGAACATAAAAGATGTCAGTTAATTTCCGATATGTTTGAAAAAAATAAATGTCAAATGGCAAATCAACATTTAATAATACTTGGGAGCATCAACTTAATCATAAGAAGAATCAATATATGGGAAACCCAGTAAGAGATGAGGGTAATCAATTGGAGTTCCTTAGGGTTTAACGTTCATAGCTCATAGAATCACAAAATAGATGCATTATGTTAGGCATCAACATATTCTATTGGATCCTAAAATTGTACAATTAAACTGTAAATCACGGGCTACAAACACAATAGATAAACCGACATCCATGGAAGTTTAAGAACCCCAAGACATTCAACATTGAGAACATAAAGTTTAAGCTATTGATCTACAAACATGTAATAAGCACTAGTTTATTTTTATTCTATTTTAACTTGAGGTAGACCAGTTCTATTTTTAGTTTGTTCAATATAGACCGGTCTATATTGTAAACTTTGTCTAGTCAAGTAGTATAAATAACCTCCTATTGTAAGAAAAGTTTATGGAATGAATAGTTTATGATTTATCTTCTATTTTTTCTTCTCTTTTGGAGTCTACACCTACTCTAACCGTGCTCTTCCTTCTTGGATGCCAAGAAGCTTATCAGATTGCTAGTGTCAAATTGTCAAATAGATAAATTAAGGACAACGCTGATACCAACTGTCAATTAGATAGCAGTGTTTGGGCTTTTGGATCCGTTATATAAAAACAAAACTTTATTTCTACAAATTTCATTTTGTATGGACAGTTTGCTATTGAGCATTCGAATATGTTGTTCATGTCACATATGATTAAGAGGTATGCTGAATATAATGTAGACTTCCTCTAGTCAACTGTTGTAGACTTTATAGGACACCTTCGCTAATAGTATGGTTAAGGAACAATAAAGGGTTGTCAGTTAACAGTACTGCAAGTATTATAATAAGGAAAGTTTGCTACTTCTCTTGAATCAATTAATTTCATATCTGAAGCGATCAAATTTTCATAGAAACAAATGTGGAGGATGGTGACGATGAGCCAGTAAAAGAATGAGAAGTATTTATTTCTATATCTTTCATCACACTTAGTATCCTTCAAATAGCATGTCCAAAATGAGCTGCTCTGGATATAGCTCTAGCAAAGTCCTGCAGTCGGAAGTATACCTAAAAAAGTGCACCCACTGCTGATTCATGCAGTATGATATCAAATATAAAAGACAGCTATACTGATGGTTTAATGACATACAAATTTTGATAAGGCTTAAGATTAATAATAAAGGTTTATTAGAATACAAACCGCAATTCCCAAAACATAAATTAAACAACTTTCAATAAATCTTCTTTAGATAACGGTTCTATATTCATGTAAAGAAACTGGCCACTGAAGTACCTTGTAATCATATTTCTAGAAGAAGCACCAATGACGAGCCTGCATATTTGAAAATTTTCAACTTCATTTCCTATTTCTTCTGCAACATCATCAGCTTCCCTTATCACGATTTCCAAATCTACCTAAAAATAAGAATAAAAGTAAATTGATCACTGGTACTTACCATTAAAAGCTCCACAACTCCACACCCGCACTCCCCAACTGCATAGGCTAAAATTAGAGACACATGGTTAAACCAATATAAAAATAGAAACCTCACCTTTCTACGCAAGCATATTTCCTTGTAAGGGAGAATCATTGAACTTGTCTGGCATTCTATATCCTTTCTGTATGCAGATACTATGTCATCACGCACTTGAGAAATAGGAAGATAGTTCCCCACTAAAACCAACAAAAAAAGATGCAGCAAACTACAGTCAAGCTTTTAACTATTATTATTAGATAAAACTGCAAAAACCAAATATGGTTGTTTGCATAAGCAAAAATAAAATAAAATTTAAATTAAAAAGAAAAAAAAAACTTCAACATAGAGCCAAGATTTATACATGTATCATGAAGTATTTTTTTGATAGGATTTTAATAACTATATTCTTTTATATATATATATATATTCTTTTTTATGTGATGTAGGCAAGAGCCGACCTATTGGTGTTCCTCATGCCGATTTTAATTCACAAAAGGTGGGCTGTTGGTTTCCCTAACATATTTCGGTTTCACTGCTTATTAAATACTATTTTGATGTTTCATTTTTCCCCTTGATGCATCGATTTTCCCCACATGGTAGCTACCCGTTCTGTTTCCCCCTTGACAGCCATGAGATGCTTCTTTTTCCCACCCTTGGCAGCGGAAATGATGCTTCGGTTTCCCCTTGGCAACTGTCCCTTTGGTCCCGGTTTGCTGCAGTTTTCTAGGTGTTCCTATTGGCTGTTTGGGAGGTGCATTAACTATATGTATTAATTGTTATTTTTTTTTCTTTTTTTCCTTATAAATGGGACTATTTGTGGCAGTTTTATAAGCATGGATATGTGATAATCTTTGGAATATAAACATTCAGATTTGTTCTAGCTTGTGAGCTAGCCTCCTTTCCCCTTCTCCTCTACGATTTCTTCTCGGTCTTCTATCTCTTCTTCTCTATCCACGATTATTGTCCCATTTGTATCATTCTTCTCATAATTAATATAAGTTGTAAGGTGTTGAGTTCTCATATTTTTATATTATATAGGTGTTTATCTATGTTTATGATAAGGAAGACTTTTAGTTTGCAATCCTAATGAAATTATTTTTGTTGCACAGTTTTGGTATCCAAACCTAGGTCATATGAGTTTTCCTTTCTTTAAAAAAAAAATGGATAGTCCAATCAATCAAAAAGCCAAAGTTTTAAGTAAGTCTCAAGATGAAATATAATATGTAGTTGATGAAAGTCTACCAACTATTCCATAAGAGAAAATTCTAACAAGTTAAATTTTGCCACAAGGATATTCTACCGATCCACTTCAGAATGAGCTTTACAAAATTCAAGAGAAAATGTATTTATGTGTAGAAAAATATAAAAATAGGAAGCATCAACTTCAAGTCAAGTTTAAGCAAGAAAAAGAGAAGATCCAAAGGAAGTACTCTACTTTAATATAAGATTTGGAAAAAGCGCAATCTGCTCATGGTAGAAGTTCAGAAACTATCTCATCAAGAGATGAGATTTCTCCACCAAGGGAGAATTGATGTAGGCAAGAGCCGGTCTATTGATGTTCCCCAAGCTGGTTTTAATTCTCAAAAGGTTGGATAGTGGTTTCCCTAACAGATTTCGGTTTCTTTGCTTATTAAATGTTGTTTTGATGCTTCATTTTTCCCTTTGATGCTTCGGTTTTCCCCTACTGGTAGCTGCCCTTTTGGTTTCCCCCTTGACAGCCATGAGATGCTTCTTTTTTCCCACCCTTGGTAACTGAAATGATGCTTCAGTTTCTCCTTGGCAGCTGTCCCTTTGGTCCCAGTTTGCTCAGTTTTCTAGGTGTTCCTATTGGATGTTTGGGAGATATATTAACTACATGTATTTTTTTCTTTTTTCCCCTATAAATGGGGTTGTTTGTGGCAATTTTAGAAGGATGGATATGTGATGATTTTTTTAATAGAAACCTGTAGATTTATTCTACCTTGCGTCCTTGCGAGCTAGCCTCCTTTCCCCTTCCTCTCTCCTATTTCGTCTCGGTTTTCTATCTCTTCATCTCTATCAACGGTTCCCACTATCTATATCTTTCTTCTCTTAATTATATATATATATATATATATATGTGTGTGTGTGTGTGTTTGTCTATGCTTATGGTAAGGAAGACTTTTAGTTTGCAATCCTAATGTAATTTTTTTGGTTACACCATTATGCCAGCACATTCATGTCTTTTAGTAGTCTATTTGAGTTAATGATGTTTCTTTTACAATCACAAAACCAAATGTCAATAAATTGAGACAATTCATGTTGATCAACACGTGATGATCAAAAGACCAAATTCCATAAGATTTTGTTATCAAAGCATGCATCAATGGTCCAACAAAAAAAAATACATTAGGATTGCAAACTAAAAGTCTTCCTTATAATAAACATGAACAAACACATATATAACATAACAATACAAGAACACAACACCTTACAACTTATATTATTTAAGAGAAGAAAGATAAATATGGGCGGGAACCATGGATAAAAAAGAAGAGATAGAGGCCGAGACGAAATAGTAGAGGGGAAGGGGAAAGGAGGCTAGCTGACAAGCTATAACAAACCGCACGTTTATATTCAAAAAATCATCACATATCCATCCTTCTAAAACTGTCACAAACAACATCATTTATAGGGAGAAAAAATTAATACATGTAGTTAATGCACCACCCAAACAGCCAATAGGAACACCTACAAAACTGCAGCAAATCGGGACTAAAGGGATAGCCTCCAAGGGGAAACCAAAGCATCCTTTCAGCTGCCAAGGGTGGGAAAAATGAAGCATCTCATGGCTGTCAAGGGAGAAACCGAAGGTGCAGCTACCAGGAGGGGAAAACCAAAACATCAAGGGGAAAAACGAAGCATAAAAACAACATTTAATAAGCAGGAAAACCAAAATCTGTTAGGGAAACCAACAGCGCACCGTTTGGGAATTAAAATTGGCATGGGGAACACCAATAGGCTGGCTCTTGCCTACATGGATAACACAACATTATTATCATTAATATCTTTATCTCAACTATTTCAGCCTAAAATTTTGAGTCCCGATTCTCCATATGTTTATCTTGAGTGCCGCAGAGCTGTTGATTCTATTATGCTCACATGCAATCCAAACAATGAAAATGTTTCATAAAACCTATGGCATACGAAGTCAAATTCTATGAATACAATTTTAGATGAAATATTAAGAAAACGAGTCATAAAATTTAAATTAACTTGCATGGTTTCGACTTGAAAATGAGAAGAATTAGGCGAGAAAATTACTATCCCAAATGAAAGTTAATACCTAACCCCTACTTCCATATTAAAACCAATGCAAGAACATATGGGCCATAAAATTTAGAGTATTATCAAGTATGGTTGTTGGGCCTACTTATGTCTTAAGAGCTGTCTGAAAAAGCTAAATGTCAATTTATTGAGAGTTCTTTCATTATTCCTACTCTCATTTATCCTTATGAAGTTACAATTGTCTTCATTAATGCTAGTCATGATTGTTCGGTAAAATCTTCACTAATTGGTTATAAAATTTCATCATTTAAAAACAAAAAAATCTTGATGAGTCATAGATGTCCACAAAATTTTCAAAATGATTAATGTAACACAGTTTTCCATTTCCAATGTGCATACTTTGAATTTTGCATCACTTGCTATGACATAAATTCTATTGCAACAAGCATATAAATTAACAAAACAACAATGACAGGTGAAAATGGAAAACCATTCGCAACAATCAAAATTCTTGATTGCTCATGGTCATCTGTTATAAGAGATTCCTCTAGAGAAGTAGACTGTATCATTGTATAAACAAATTTTCCTAACCAAAACAATGAACGCATAAGTGACAGAGGATATACTGTTGCATAAATAACATCAAAAGGGGTCAAATACAAACTCTAGCTGCAGATTGTTAAATCTCAGTCAAATTTATTAATAGTTTCGTTGGGTTATTTATTGCAATTCTTTATTTTCAGTTGGTGACTCTTAACAAATCATTAACAAATAAATATATAGAGCCAGAATAAGAACAAAAAAGATAACTTACTTGGAGTTGGAATCATTGTGATCGGTGGACGAACATAAAATAGCTTCAAATGAACTTTCCCTCCAGATAAAAAAGCATTCAAAGCCCATTTAAGAGCAAGTTTACTGCTTTTAGTTCCATTGATCGCGACCAGTATAGTCGAAGAGTAAGGAAGCAAGGACTCGCCCATCTCTACCATTTCTTTCTTTGAGATTTCTCCTTTCCGAACATCAGCTTCCACCTCATTGCCTTCTTTCTTCTCTAGCATTTCAACGCTTTAAAATAACTCTCACCTACAAAAAAGTTATTTATTATTAAGAAAAGCAAGATCTGCTTAGATTTCAAAATGAATAAAGGTACTATTCTGGAACATATGAAAATTACAATAAATGGAAAAGAAATCAAACCCCCTAATAAGAAAACGCAGAACAATCCATTACTAAAGAACACAGAACATAATTCGGGCTTTTAGAACTATTATAAACAGATACTGAAACCCTTAACCTCCATTAAAGAAACGGAAGCCTTAAGAAAACCAACAGAAGACAGAACCCGCCACTTTTACAGAATCAACACCTCTGCAAAGCTCCAACCCGTATACTCGACGATTAAAAGCCTTAGATGAAGAGAAGAGAAAAGGCAAACCAGGAATAAGAGCTATCTTTACCTCTCTCCTATAGCATCTTCAATCTTTCAGCGAAAGGACGAAGATACCAAAAGACTAGGCGATGAAGAAGTCTTGAAGCACCGGGCGTGTAAACGCGCGAAACGAGAAAGCCACAGAAGTCGGCGAGGCAGAACTTCAGGAAGATTTGTAATTATTTTTTTAACTAATTTTGTGTTTTTATTTTTTAAAATAGCAAAATTAGTTTTTAAACCTTCGGTAAAATTATGTCAACCGTAAAAAAAAAAAAATTTGTTGTATAAAAGTTTCAAAATAAGGAATATTTAACAGCGAAGCAAATTTGCTTTTGATGACCATAATATTATTTAAATTTGTTTTGATGTTACTAAAACATATTTTATTTTTATAAATTATTGGGACTTTTTCATAGATGGACGTTATAAAATTTATTTAATTTTAATTTAATTGCTTTAAATACATTTTTTAATTATTAATTTATTAATTATTTGTAAATTTATGTGTTCATAATTAGTTATTTATATTTTATTATTTAGTCAAACATCATTATTTTGAATTATTTTTGTCAAATAAAATTGACTATTACAGTTATTAAAAAAATATTTAATGATATTTTATCAAATAATTATTAATTTATTTTTGGCAGCCGTCACATTTGACAATTAACTATTGGAATTATTTGTCGTTGTCATTTTCAAATGAGAGCAAGTTAGATCATATATGTCCATAATGCAACTCATTTTGATATGTTGGTTGAGAGCTTTGATTATAAGTATCAATTAAGAGGTCTTAGGTTCGAAATTTATCTATATGATGTGTATACGGCAATATGAGTTATCTTAATTGACCCAAATATATATACAAGTCCATAAATTCTTCCAAAAATCAAGCAATTGAAGTATTATTAAAAAATTTATGATATTATTTAAGGATCAAACCGTCTATGATTCTTGCATTTTTATAATCAAAATGAGTGTCTCGATGAGGAACAATTATTACGTCCGGTGACCGGACGTAGCTCTACTTTCGGTCACCCCTGAGTTACTCGGTATTTGCTAGGTATTGCTTGGCAATAACGAGAAATACCGCTCTGTGAAGGCCAATACCGAGTAATACTGAGCAAATACCGAGCAATACCGAGTTTTTCTAAAAAAACTTGGTATTGCTCGGTATTACTAGGTATTGCTCAGTATTTGTCTTCACATAATGGTATTTTTCGTTATTGCCAAGCAAAATCGACAAATACGTGATTTTGTGTATGTTACGTGGCGCGATCTCAGTGCCGGCCGAACGTAGCTCTACGTCCGTTCACCGGACCAAATAAAAGTTCCTTGATGAGATGACTCTCATGAGACTTAGATAATTTAATTATGATGTTATTAAAGCACTTAAATGCCTAAGAAATAATCTATAATCAAGAGTATTAATGTGGTTTGTCCAATGGAGTATTTGAAAGTTTTGACTAAAATTAATAAAATAACACTCTCAATAAGACAAATAGACTCTTATTTTCACACGAAGGCATCTGAAATGTGAGAGACCTTAGATATTTGAATGCTTGTAGAGCTTTCCCAATGATCAATGACGACGGTCATCACGAGCAATCACCATTGCCCGAGTTTCACCATCTGATTGTTGATAGTTGATCGTCGTCGCACAATTGTCATTGCCTAATTATTGTAACCCAACCGCCATCACGTAAGAGTCATTGTTCGATTATTTTTTGCCCAACTATCAACATCACTCAATAAATACGTGTTTATGTGAGTTTGTGATTAAATTCACTCATTATCTCAAAGAAAAAAAAAATAAAATGACTTTTTAACGGAAGTATCTGAAAAATAAAATGTGTTAAGAAAATATCATTCATGAATACTTAGGACTTTATTGGGATGGCCGCAGCATTTTATAAAGTTGTAAAGTTGCTATTGAGAAATCAACTTAACTATTTGTATTATAAAAAATAGCTTTCACTTCAAAAATTTTTGAAAAATAATGAAATTGCATAAAGCATTAGCCAAATAAAATTATGATTGTTATCTTAAAAGTAAAATCATATGAAAATTGTTTCAAACATATCCTTAATTGCAAAAAATCACATTGAATATAAAATTAATAATTTTTGACAATAACGTGTAAAACCTTACACAATATAAACATAATTAATTGCCTTGAAGAACCTAAAGGTTGTGAAATATGTGAATATGTATTTTTTTAAGTTATTATTATTATTTTTCTAACAAGATAGGTCTCCCTATGGTGTTAAGCACTTGAATAAATTATTGAGAATTTCCAAATACGCATGGATGGGCAGCATTTTATGAAAAATGTTGCTCTTAAAAAAAAAAAGATATTTTAATTCAAATTATATTAGTTTTAATTTAAGTTGATAAAAAAAAAAAAACTCTTCAATTAAAAATACATGATATTTGATACATCATTAATAAATCCGTCAAATCAAGCATGATTCTTGATATAAATTTTGAATCATAAACTTTTAAGATTGACTTCAACAACAATGTTAAAGTCGAAACAAAAATTTCAATAAAACAAATCCAATTACAATATAAGAGTCTTGATCTAAGTTCAAATGATAAAAATTCAAGCACTGGAAACTTCACGACAATGTTTGAAGGGCTAAACTATGTTGCCCTATAATCTATATGGAAAGACTTGCATCTTTTATTATTTTTCAGTCAACAATTACAGCTAAATAATTTCATCTAGATAAAATATAAACAATGGAAAATATAATTATATTTTTATAATTAACAATTACACATTCATTAGGGGTGTCAATATTGGACCCGACCTGAAAACCCGACTCGAAAATTTTGTGTTTGGGGTGACCCGAACCCGAAACGGGTCGGGTTCGGGTCCGAAAAATTGACCCGTTTGTAAAACCGGGTCGGGTTCGGGTTGACCCACGTTGCCTGCCTCAGCCGCCCACGTGACCGTGCGTCGCCTGCCCAAGACTGAGTCATATCGTCGCCCGAGACATTGAGATTTCCGCACGTGACGCTTATCGCCTGCACTAGTCGTGTCGCTGCCTGGCGCCAGCCCTGCATTGCCTGCACCGATGTCGATGCCCCGCCGGCGGCCGCTACCATCTCCTGCTGCTGGGCAACCGGAGGACCGAATCGCGTGCGACCGTGCGAAAAATGCTGGAGGACCGAACCCAAAGCGGGTCGGTTGACTCGAACCCGAAGCAGTTCGGGTTCGGGTCCAAAAAATTGACCCGTTTGCAAAAATGGGTCCGGTTGACCCGAACCCGAATAGTGCCGGGTCAATTCCGGATTCGACCCGACCCATGACCCGAAATTAACAATTACACCTTCATTAAAAGTCTAAAATGACATACACGCTAGCCATGATATGCAACCAACAATAGTCTACCACTATAAATTCATCATGATTAAAAAAATAGCAAAGATCAATATATACATAAAGAAAACTCTACTCCAGCCCAAAACAACCTCAATCAACAACGTTATTATATTTGCTTGAAAATATGTAAAAATTTACATAATGAGCACACAGCCTAATAAGTAATCAGTATATTCAAAAACTTAATCTTTATTTAATGATTTTTTTAGAATATAACAATATTCTTAATTTACTATTTAGCAGATTAGACTGTCTTCTACGTATTTATCACTCAACGCCACAAAGCTTATTAACATTTCGTAGACGGTGAGGAATTGTCCGATCAATCCATTTGAGAATTCAAAAGGAAGACTTCGTTGGGTTATTTTTTGGCTCAACTTCATTTTATATATTTATAATACTGACATAAAAATAAATATTTAACCATATAATTTGTTGGGGCCTATGGCCCATCTCGAGTCCTCTGCTCCTCATGTCTTAGGTGTTGGTATTTCTGGTTTGAATATGGACTTTTCTGTGGACGGTGGTGGAGTGAATAATGTTGTTCCTGCTGTTGGTAAGGCTGGTATTGTTAGGAACGGACTGCGGGTTGATGCTAACTCTTTTATTAATGTGCCCGTAAACTTGGTTGATACCAAAGCTTTGGTGTATCATGTTGGTGATAATGCAGGGATGAATGTTAGGACACATATTGATTGGTTGCGCTCGTCTGATGTGGAATCCGATTCTGACTCCGGCTCGGATCATTGTGGTGGTTCTGATTCGGGTCAGGATTTTCGTTTGGTTCGGGACCGTCCAGTTGTTGCCTCTCGTGGACGATTTCGTGGCCGGGGCAGGAGAGGACGATAGCTGCTGTGTTTTTCATGATTTGGCAATATTCGTCATACTGTTTATCCGCTATGGTTATTGGTCATTTCGCCTGTTCTGTGGATCGAGGATTTTCTTTGGCTATGATGTGGCCGGGGCTCGCTTTCCCCGTGTCATTGCTGGTGGCAACCTTTGGTGATTCCTCGCCTTATTAGATGGTCTTTTGCGTGGCTTGGGGGGGCTGGGAGCCTCGGCTTTTTCTGAGCCCTCGTTTGGGTGTTCTCCTTGTTTTTTTTTGCTCTCTTTTTGGCCTCTTTGGGCAAATGCTCACTTAAGTTTGTATCCCTTTCTCTTTTTATTCTAATGATATTTCTGTTTAAACAAAAAATATTTAACCATATAATCAAAACAGAAAAAAAAAAAAAAAAAAAAAAAAAAAAAAAAAAAAAAAAAGCCTCTTTATTTTTTTGAGGCTTCAATTTGTAATATTTCTACGGCGTTTAAAGACATAAATTTGTATTTATTTTTATAAAACTAGATAAATTGTTTTATAAATGTGCTGCTTATAGTTACATTCATTAAAAAGAAACAAGCAAAATAATAATATTATGATGACTGCAACATTTCGACAATTTTTTTTTTTTAATTCAAGAGAGAAATTATGTCAAGATATTCTAATATAAATAATATTAAGATGAGTTTGAAAGTTATTGAATTAACTTTGAGATTAATAAATATAAATTCTTCATATATGTCACTAACTAAGATAAATTCAATTATTTTCAAATTCATATTGATATAATTTTAATTAAGATATTCTGATAATTTTTTTCCTCTAATCCTAGATCTTAGTATCTTAATATTAAAAAAAAAACTAATTTTATATAATTTCAAAAATAAAGTGCTAATAGCTAGATCTCAATTTAGAGAGATTATTACATGTGGACATAGAATACATCTGGAAGTGAACGAGGAGCCTGCACATCATATAATGTACAATACATTAGGTGATGTGGTGTCTCCTCATTTGCCTCCAGACGCATTAAGCATCCGTATATAATAATCTTTTCTCGATTTGATGCATGTAGGATTTGTGGCGGCTACGAAGTTTTAGAGGCCTTACCTTCAAATCAGTCAAACTTATTTAAAATTAGCTTAGTATTAGAGATCGGACCCTAACCTTGAACTAATCTAGCTCGCACCTCTGATCCTTATGAACTATGTCTAGTCGACCCCCTGATTATGTTGTATACTCGGCTAAGGTTTGGCCATATTATAAAGAGGAATGAAATTCTAATTATGATATAAATATGAATTTAAACATTATTAAATTTACTTTAAATTTAAGGGTAGATATATGAATAATTTTCTGTTGTACCTGATACAAAATATCGCCTTAACCGGGAACAAATTTTGATGCAAATATAAATAAAAAATTCTAAATTTATATTTGGGATCGTTCAAGCTTTGGTTTCAACAAGCTTATTGTCAAATGAAACATCTCAAGGAGACGAATCCAATGACGTCAAAATTGGTCTAATATGAACCCAAGTGGGTCCAAATCAAAGGCCCGTGTCTATTTGAAAGCTTCAGAATATTAATTTGATGATCAAATGATATCCAAATATGACATTCTTATAGACAAATTGAGCAGCTCAACGAGACAAATCCAACAAGCCCAAGATCGCCAAATTCTAACATCAGTAAGATTAAGACACTCAAATGCTCAATAAATATTTTATAATAAAAGAAATTGCTATGAGTTATCCGATATAACACTCCCAACTTACCCTTCTTCTTCCCCCTATTTACTAGTCATGTCACTCCCTATAAAAACTATAAATATTCTCTCATTTTTCATATGAAAAGGGAGAAAGAAAAAGAGAAAACTTGGGCGCTCCATTGTCATCAACCACGATCTGATCTCTTCCTGACCACCAACCGTCGTTAGACTTCTGCTCATTCATTGATTACCGCTAGATCTCAAAACAACTTTCTAATACAATTTTTAAAAGAAGCAAAAAATAATGACAAAATACAAAGAGGTAAGAAAGACATTCCAAACGAGATTTGAGATTTCATTTGAGATAATTTTCTTATTGATTTCTAAATCAATTTTTTAATACAAAAATTATAAGTTCAAAAAAAACTTTGCGCAAAAAATACAGCTTGAAAAGTTATGAGAAAGCCTTCCAACCAAATCCTGAATCTGATTGTTTGAAGTCACTTTGATCTAAGTGATATAACTAGAACCAGTTGGTCCAATTAATTATATTATTAATTTAAACCGAAGCCAATTTGACTGGAACAGTTTGTGAGCGTTTGATCCGTCGGGGTCGCTTGGCAAATTTTGTCTGCAAGAAGAACCACGTACACATGCTATTATTAAAATACAAATAAAAAGCAATTAAAGTCTCCCTAATGATTGCTATTAAGGAGTTTATAGCTTTTAGATAATTATTTAAACTCCATATTAGTTGTAATGTAAATTTAATAAAAAAATAATTATTTCTAATTCCTTAATAAATCTCTCTCCTCCGCTATCCAACATAATCGACCACATTGTCCCATATCACTTGCGCAAAATTGTAGCTTTTTCTACACCCTATAAGTTCTTTTTAAAAAGCAAAAAAAGTTGCCCGAAACAAAAGTTTTATTTGTGACAGCTTTTTTATCACTTTCTAAAACAATTTTTTAGTACAAAAATTTTTTGAACTAAAATATTTTTTACTGAAAAGCTTTTTTAAAAAAACAATAAGAAAGCTGTCACAAATAAAACCTAAACCTAAATTGAAGAATAGTACGGAATCCTATTTTGAAAATGTGTAACTATTACATCACATAGAAAGAAAGAGCATAAAGATATAACGCTGCAGTTGATTCTGCTAATGACAGAGGATTCTACAGAGAGCATAAATGGCTTGAAAAGAGCCAAAAGTACTAGCACCAACCTCAGAAAACTCATCCATTGCTTGCAATGAAGTGAACGATGCATCTTTGGACAAGACTGTGCAACCTGTGCTAGAAATACATACCCTCTCAATATCTGATGATGAGTTATTTATGTTAGTTTTAAAAAGCTGTCAATCGTAGGTTCATATCGATGAAGGCCTAAAGAGCTTAGGTGGTAATGGAAGATAAATAGTGGGACGTCATAATCTATATATATATAGGGGGGAATTATTGGCATAGCCTAATTTTATTCATTATAAAAAATAATTGCAATCTTGAAGAACAATAGAAAAAGCAATAGGAATACAACTCAACTTAAAAAGCATTAAAAATATATATAACAAGTGACCTAAAAAAATCAATGCTCAGTACATAGAGCAGCAAAAAAAAAAAATAAAAAATAATAATAAATAGAGCAGCAAAAAATCACAAACCAATAAAAAATATAAGAGACAAAAATTGGACTTAGAATGAGCAAAAATGCTCCAACACAATAAACTGCTTCTCTCATTGCACCAATTACTGAGGAAGAAAACAAAAGTGTTATCTTCTTAAGCCGATCTTTCTCTGCCCCTGTTCCTAATGACTTCTCTTTTGAGTTTTATAAAAGCACTTAGGTTATCACTGGCCCTCGGGTTTTCAAGGCTATTAAATATTTCTTTCAACACAAATATTTTCCTAGAAGACTTAAAGCCACTACTTTTCTACTTCTTGCTTACAAAGAAAAAACATCGACTTCAAGAGAACTTCCACTTGACGATAACTACTGTTTGGCTACTCGCTTACAGAAAACTACAGGCTTCAAGAGAACTTCCACTTCACAGTTTTAAAAAAGAGATTTCTATGCAGTGCTTAGCATGCTTAAGCAAAACAGAAGAATATAAGATCAATAAAAAACGAGCATCAGAGCAAGAATGCCTCAGCTTTCATTTAAATTTAGCTCAAAGGAAACGTCAGAAAAGCAATAAACATAGCTCAAAATGTACAGAACGAAAACATAGCCCAAGCCATGCAAACTTTTATTTTGCACTACGTAGATCCAATAATAAACCAACAAAGCTGCTATCTAAACACCCATAGATACAGCCATTCATAGCAGTTTCTTAAGCTATCTTGTCATCTAATCCCCAGTCATAGTAACAGTAAATTAAGCTGCCTATGACACCAATTTATTGAGCCTCATAATACAGACCAAGGTTCATTTGGATATATTAAAGATGCTATCTTTTTGGAGGAAAGACAGGTAAGGTATAAGAGACGCAGGAAAAATGAAAGGTGCTATTTTGGTTATACCGATGATAGAAATTTTGGCATCTAGTTAGAACCCTCGTTGCCTGTACGAAATACACACAATCAACCAACTAAACTTACCTTATGCGTCATAGAAAGTAATAGATAACACCTAATTTATTCATTATCATCATCTTCTTCATTAGTTTTATCCTAATTATTTGTAGTAGCTTAGTAGGTTTTATGAATCCTTATTATCCACGAGTGCTGCTTTGGACGGATAACTCTATCTTGCGCAATTTTTAGCCAAGTTACTTACATTTACCTCCTCTCTTCTTCAATCATTCCAATTCCATTGTATCTAGCTATATTATTGATGCATCTCATATGCTCTACTTTACATGCCCAAGTAATATAAGTTAATTTTTCACAATTTTACCTACAATAAATATTTACTTCCACCATCCTATAACATTATCATTTCTCTATCTAGCCATTCTGATTTTCCCATAAAAAGTTATGTATCATATAATTTACCATCACATATAACTAAAGAATTTCTGAAATTTTATATAAACCCATTATTAGGTACAATGCCTTACCAAAATTAAGGAAATGTGATTGCATAAAATCAAACTGTTCCTCCAAGCTTACTTTAAACAAAATCATCTCGTGTTACATGTAAGCTCCATCATACCATCTACAGGGTCAACAACTCTAAACAAAGACAGAACAAAGAAAATTTTGATTCAGCAGCACTTACATGATAAATAGAATATTGTCGACTGTGCCAAGTCTCAATCACTAGCTCTGGGTCTTCTCTACCGCTTTCTTTGGCTGTACAAAAGATGAGTATGTATAAGTTGTAAAAAATACTCATAACAATGTGGAAGGCAATAACCAGAACACGTTATAATAGGAACTTACAAGATATTGCATAATCTCAGAACAAAAAGAACATGCACAGCTAAGATACAGGAGTAATAAATTTGCAAATAACAAAATTAGTCAGGTCTAAACAGGATTTTCAATCAAATTATTCAATTTCTTAGGTGAGTTTTAGGATGGTTTTCATGTAGAAGGAAGGATATGATTCTTTCTCAGCAAAATGGACCAGCGTGATCCTAATTGATATGAATGGACCGTGATCTTGAAGAGGTTAGATAGAAGTTTCATGCAAAATCCATTAGGTGGTCCATGGTCATTTACAGAAAAAAAGCATCCAAAATCTGAGTTGAGAAAAGACTTTAATTTTTATGCGAAAGCATCAAGTATGAGCGAATATTATGAACAACAAAAAAACAAGAAGGTGAAAACTACATGCAAAGAACATTAGGATTTATGCGGTTCGATTAGGGGTGTAAACGAGTCGAGTTTAGGCCCTTATCAAGCTCGGCTCGTCACTTGGAAAGCGAGCTCGAACTCGAGTTCAGCTCACTGTAAATGAGCTCGAGCTGGCTAACGAGCCATGGGCGGGAATTTTAAAATTTAGGCCGGATTTTTTAAAATTAGGCGGGATTATTAAACCTTAGTTAAAATTTAGAAAAAAAAAAGATAAAATGTTTTAAATAAAATTTAAGTAGTTTTTATTAATTTTTTTAATATTTAAATTTAATATATAAAATAAAATTATCTAAAAAATATTAATATTTAACTTGCGAGCTCACTGAGTCGAGCCGACTCGAACTCGAGCTCATTTACTAAATGAATCGAGCTCAAGATAAGCTCGCGAGCCGGCTCGGCTCACTTACACCTCGAGGTTCGATAGTCACTTACTTGCATCTATAGGAGAGGAGAAAGTGTCGAATATATTAAACAAAAAGCAACGTCTAGTGAACAAATAAAAGACACTCATCAGCCCTTTACAAAGCTCGAGTATACCCACTCTCAAAAAGGAAAAAAGAAACCCAATGTCTCTAAGGCAAACCAAAGAGAAAATACCAAAAAAAAGAAACTAAAGAATGGATTAAACTAAAACCACAAATTATCCACTTCAAACAGTTCAAAGTTACTCAAATTGATACCTTTACACCACTCTATAGATTCAGCTCGAAATTTCTAGCACAACAATACTTTCGGTTCACCAAGATTACACTCCATCGTTACAAAAATAATGTTTCTTTAACTGCTCCTCTTTCTCTCTGCTCTTTCTCTCCTCATATTAATTCCTTCACTCTGTATTTTTTCTACTTAATAATCAATTCATGTCCCAGGCAACCTCTCTCACGTGGTTTTCGGCATGCATGAAAGCCCATATCCAAATCAATCTATTCACACACCTAAAGCCTCTTTAATGCGTTCCCATTTATAGGACTTTAAGGGGGTAGTTTTAAAACTAAATTCAAAGTTAAAAAAAAAAAAGTTATTATTATGCCAAAAAATAAATTTTAAACTCAATTTTATCTCAAATAAAAAATCGTAATTTGTTATTCTCCCAACAAACCTCCTATCTAAAATCTTGGCTTATCCTAAATTTATTGTGTAAAAAAACCTATTGCTAATTCAAAAAATCACAAGTTGGATTGATAAAGAGTAAAGACATCAAAATTTTGGAAAAATCTAAAATTTTGAAGTTAAATATAAATTGAATTGATTCATCCCCCTTTTCATATAAGAACTCAACCAAGAAGGCTAAAAATTCTCTGAAATTATAAAGCTAAAGATTGATCATCTTTAGTTACAAGGTTTCTCTGAAGTTGTAAATTTGGAAGTAGGTTTCAAACCAACCAAAACTCAAGCAAATAAATGTCATAGAATCTATCAATTTCTGCATAAGCCCTTTGTTTTGAGGCCAGGGATCTAGTTGTAAGTCCTTCCACCTCTTTCGTTGATACTGGAAGGCATTCATATGTGCGTGGAAGTTTTCAGGTAGATTGGATATATCTTGATCTTTGATGGTTGAACTGAAGATATTTGATCATTTGATTTAAAGTTTGTGTGTGCCACTCTGTGCCTTATACAAATTATAATATAAGATACAGATAAAAAAAATAGAATAAATAAAAAAGGAGTAAAAACAAATCTAAAATAAAAAATAAGAGGAGGATTTGAAATGTAATATATAAAAACATAACTCTCCACAACACCTCTTGACTTGAGGCTTCATCCATAGATTGAAATAATATAAATATCATCCCATTCTATAGGGAGTCTAGCCTCATAATATGTTGATGAATAACGTAAGCATTAGATGAGTCCTGCATATAGAAACATAAAGGTAACAAATATTTTCGTTGGGCCTCCTTCGACCTTTCCTTAGCTAAGGCAAGATCACTTTTTTCCAGCAAAAGAAGGACCTCCTATACTTATTATTAATTCTGAGTCCATCACTCTCACATCTTTTATATTTCGAGTGCTTTTTTAGCGAGCTGATAAGTCCAGTAGAATTCAATGCAAAAAAAGGTATGAAAGTGATACTCTTTTATTCTTATGGGTTATTTGGCTCCTTGATGCTTGACACTTTACAAAATATTCTGCGACTCAAAGCAATCCTCTCTAACTGCTTGAGTCTATTGATGTCGTCGTCTCTACTTCTTATGAGCTAAAACTGTTCAAATCTTTAAAATATAACCACAATTGAAAATAAAGTAGGAAGATAGGAAACTTGGGGAAGAGCTCACCATAGTCAAGTTCATAGGTCTGGTTGGAGGTGAGTGGAGGAAGCTACGAAGTGTGGCGGCTGATCTTGACAACGTTCTGCAGGTGGAAAGCCGGTGAGGTATTTTGGGCAGCAAACGGAAGTCTCCCGGATGACGAAAAAGCACTAGAAGTCTGTTGGATTCTCTGGACAGCAAGAGAAAAAAACTGGGGCAGCAATTTCCAAGGTCTTGGGAGGGAGGGCTGCCATGGTAAACGTCCAGAATTTTCTGGACAGGAAGGAGGTTGTAGGAAGTCTTCTCACAGCAAAAAGGGGATGAAGTTTGAAGAGTGAATCCAGTGGAGGGAGGCGGGAAAGGTTGCCGGCTAGGGGAAGGAACAGAGAAATTTCTGTTCTCAGATTTTAGGATTTGGTAATCAGAGGAATTACATTCCAAATCTGAAATTTATTCAGATTTCAAGAATTGAGGAATTTGGGGAGGGAGATGTAAATGTCAAACTCCCAATCAAATAAAGAAAATAGGGTGGGGCGGCTGGTATTGAGGAATTGATTAGACTTAAGAGGGGAAGAAGAGAGAAAAAGATAATGAAGAAAAGAGCCACGAACCCGGACGCTTTCAAAGTTGGTGGGTGATCCGATTCCCTCTCCAAGGGATTTCTCTCCAAAGCTCTCAAGCACTCACACAAACACAAGATTACAAGAATTTTCATTATCATTCATTCATTAACCTCAAAAGAAACATATGGGACTTATATTAACCTCCTACAATGAAAGGGAAATAAAAGACGACATTGTCCCTAGGGCTTACATATGACAAAACCCTTAAGTAAGGGCAAAATGGAAAATGCTACTAAAACAAATATATAAAGCAAATAAATAAAGCAAATACATATGAAGACTCAAAAATAAATTGGCGCGAAAGTGGCCGTTGATCATCGGCCACGTCTCTGAAAGACTTTTCATGATCTGATGTCCGCATCATACTATCAAATAATGATGTCCATTAGGGCGTGAAGTTTTCCAACTGGCCAACTTTCCCTCAACTCTACTGCAAGGATGAACTTATTGGTGGTTGTGATATTGAATTTGTCGGGCATGAAAGTGGAGAATTGAAAGATGTGTTCCGAGATCATGGAATCCTTCTTATTTCAAAAGAGAACCTACCATACTCTAGAGCTCAGGGATCTGGAAATGGTGGAACAACTGGCTCCACAACTCTTAGTACTGTTTTAGCCTCTCGACTAAGAACTTTCATAAATTCAAGTCCTGTTATATTGTTCATAAAAGAAAAACCTAAAGAGCCTAAGTGTGATTTTAGCAGCAAGGTTGTTGAGCTCCTCAAACGAGAGAAGAACGAGTTTCAGAGCTTCGATGTGCTTTCCAATGAGGAAGTAAGGCTGGAACTAAAAACTTTTTCCAATTGGTCTAGCTTCCCTAGCTTTACATAAAAGGTGAGTTAATTGGAGGATATGATATAGTTCTTGAAATGCATGAGAGTGGAAGGTTAAAGAAAGTTCTTGCAGAGAAAGGTATTGCACGTCAAAGAATCTCTCGATCTCAATTACAATAGCCTTGAATTCCTTTTTAACATTGGCACAAACAAAAGGTGGTGCAGAGATGCTTCATTCTGTCAATCTTTTCCCTTCCCAGAGGGTTTTATTCAATCATTTGGTGGATGAAACAAAACCTAATCTTGAAGTGGGTTGTTTCTCCACTAACTATGACAAAATAACATGCAAGCACACCTATTGACTTTCACAATTGCAATAATCTCCTCAGAAGTCAGATCAACGGACATTATTGGCAGCTCTTAGGCTTTTTGAACATGCTATGTTGCTCACTTGTTTGCGGGGTAGACGTCATAGAAGAAAAGGCATGAAAGAAATAGATTTTGAAGTAAGGTAGCAAGGAAGGAATTTTCTGGCATTTATAAGCAAGGAAATACATCATGAGGGAGACCTATCTAATAGCATGATTCATCTTTTCTATTTATCAACTCTAAAAAAAAGAGCATAAGTCAACTGAGAAACCCTCTTTTATTAGAAGTAAAAATGGATGTGATATTAGTCCACTGCTTCCACAGCAATATCTTTCGTCCCACTTAGAGGACAAGGTGAGTCTGGAGGGGAAGTATTTATATGATTAGAGGGGGCGGCTAGCCTAGCCATCAGGTCCAGCAGGGGTGGAACCAGTCATAATTTTCAGAGAGAGGGGG